CGTCTTTGCTGTGTCACTGTTTTGTCATGTTTCTGTGCTGCTGTGCATGCAAAAGTACTTAGTATGAGAATTATTTCATGCAAAACTTTTTTTTTTTTGCGTTTTATTTAGCCGCGCATAAATGTATGCCTATCTCTCATTCCGTGTTGTTCAAAAAGCTCAGTGTTGGTCCACAAACAAAAGCGAAACCTATGCTTATTGGTTGTGATATAGCGAGTTTGAACCAATCTGGGCATGGAGGAGGGACAATGCATCAATGTATCATGTCTGGTTTGTCCGGAGACACAGTGACGAGCGTTTCTTTGTCAAATCAGCGTTGTCAAATTTTGATGACGTAATCGCACTGATTCCGGAGCCTCTGAAAGTCCGCGAATGTTATGTGATACAGCACTGGAAAGCTGAGATTCTCTTCTTTATGCCAATATTTGAATTGTATGAATCAGATCAGCGGATCAAAAGTTATTAAACATTTAAAAGCAATACTTATTTTAGCCGCGGGCGGCTGTCTCGGTCTTTAAGGGTTAAAACCGTTGATATGCAATTGTTCATGGTATGATAATCGTGCACGTTCAAATCGTGGTAGACCGTCATACCGGTATATTGTTACAACCCTACATATGAGAGACTTGCTTTGTTTACCTATCATTCATTCATTCATTCATTCATTCAATCATTCAGCTTAGTCTCTTTATTAATCAGGGGTCACCACAGTGTAATGAACCGCCAACTATTCCAGCATATGTTTTACACAGAAGATGACCTTCCAGCTGCAATTCATCACTGGGAAACACCCACACACACTCATACACTACTGCCAGTGTAGTTGATCAGTTCCCCTATAGCGCATGTGTTTGGACTGTGGGGGAAACCGGAGCACCCGGAGGAAACCCACGCCAACACCGGGAGAACATGCAAACTCCACACAGAAACACCAACTGACCCAGCCTAGACTCAAACCAGAGACCTTCTTGTGAGGCCACAGTGCCGACCACTGAGCCACCGTGCTGCATTTGTTCACCTAATAAGTGGAACTGATTGGACTTTCATCATAATGCTTGAATACCAGTTAAATCGTGATCATTATTTATTTAATGTATCAATGTTTTAGCTACTAAACTCCTAAAGTCATTCACAGACATTAATCCACAGACTTGTGTTCAACATTCTGCACAGAGTTAGCCGAACCTGCCCTGCTGATGATCCAGCATGTAACACACACACAGTTCTCCTGGCTAAAGGACATGCAGGCAGCGTTTAGTGTGTGTGTGTGTCTGTGTGTGTGTGTGTGTTAGCGAGAGAGTGTGTGTGTTTGTGCATGTGTGTGTGTGCCGCACCTTCGCGATGTGCTCCTCCAGCCGCCGCTGATGATCCTGCACACCATCACTGACCTCAGACCAGCGCTGCGCATCATCTGACACACACTCCTCATCCTGAGAGAGAGAGAACACACACACTGAGGAGGAGGAGGAGCTGAAGGAGGTGTGTGTGTGTGTGTGAGAGAGAGAGAGAGAGAGAGAGAGAGTGCGTGCATGTATGTGTGAGAGAGTATGTGTGTGTGTGTGTGTGTGTGTGTGTGTGATTAAGAGAGAGAGAGAGTGTCTACTTGTGTGTGAAAAAGCAGAGTGTGTGAGATTGTGTTTGTGTGTGTATGTGTGCACAAATGTGAGTGATTGAAAGAGTGTGTGTAGTTAAGTGTATAATAACGGTAAACACACACACACATACAGTATATGTAAACACACATATACATACATGCACGCGCGCGCCGTCTGTCATATTTAATTAAAAATGGAGGGGGCGTGGCTAAACAAATTTCCCCCAATCAGAGTCCTTAGAGAAGGACTACTGTTCACACTAAACTGAATATCTGTGTGTGTGTGTGTGTGTGTGTGTGTGTGTGTGTGTGTGTGTGTGTGTGTGTGTGTGTGTGTGTGTGTGCGCTTGTGTGTGTGAATGAAGCTCAGAGATGGAGACGTTCACTCATGTGTGTGGAGGATTGTGTAACGTCATCCTGATTTCTCAGAGATGTAGGGCGACTCGCAGCCGCCAGGCACACACACACGCACACACACACACACACGCACACACACACACACGCACACACACACACACACACACACACACACACATATATATACCTCTCATACCTAAAGGAGTCTCTAGAGAATGCAAATCAGCCAGGTGAGGTTATACGAAATGTTTCTTTAGCTAACCTCCAAATATTGAAAAGGTTTGTTTATGTAAACTGTTGTTAAGTT